CCCCCCCCCGCCGCCTCCCCCGGGGCTCCCTCTCCGGGACGGGACAGGCAAAGGCGGGCAGAGGGGACCCAACAGCCCGCTTTGTCCTCGTCCTCCTCGCCCAGGCACTGAAGAGCCCCTCCAGCTGCTTATCGGCTCTGACAGCGCCGGTGAGTTCCGAGCCGGTCATCTGGGAAACGGCCCCCTTCCCCACCCTGCCCTGGGTAGATTTTGGGTTTCCAGTTCTTCCAACTCAAAATTTCACCACCTGACGAACCTGCTCTGCAGGCGGCCTCTGACAGGCCTTTGCAGACCCTTTGCTGGTCTGCCGGTTGCCTTCAGGCGTTCGTAGTTTCTCCTGATCACCAGTGAACTCACTGAACAGCCAAGGAGCAATATCAGCGGAACTTGAATAGAAATAGTGCAACACAGCCAGGCTTCCCCATGACTGCCCACGGAGGTTGGCTGATGACTGTAATTGATTCACTTCACCCAGGAATTATGAATAGCGTAGAAGGCAGGCTTTGAAATCACAATGTCATTGAAGTCCTACATGAAGCTCCTTTGATGGTATCTACACATTGCTTTTATCAGTCTGATTTGTAAGCTCCTCAAAGAATGAAATCAGATTTTTTTTTTTAAAGAAAGCTCTTTTCTATAAAACCACATTGACTAGCACTAATGATAGTCTGATAGTCATATAATGAGCTGCATTCAGCCCTTAATGACTGAACTTTGTACCAGCTTTATTATTTTGCTTATGACCATGGCTAACTTATCTGTCCTATCCTCCTGGCCCATTTGAATACCAGCGTGACACAAACACCGTTTGAGACTTCTGAATTTTAAGTTCCCTAAGTTGTGTTAAAAATCAGTAAGCAAGGGAGATCTCCAGTCCGTTTTTTTTTTAGGACCGCTGAGTGCAAATTATCTAAACCTACTGATCTGTAAATACTTACCCTGTAACAGAGGTTAACGTCCCTCTGATGCATAATGGCTTGACAAACACATCGCCGCCTTTGTGCGATACGCTCAAACATTTCTGGGTCTTTTATGTTGTATTATGAGATCGAGGTTTGAGATCACGATCAAGTGTTTACAACCTTGAAGCCAATCCAAAAAGAAAGATGTTCTAGCAGCCTCCTTCGGATTAACTATTAACAAGTGAGGGGGTTGCTGTGGAGGTTAGACAGGATAAAAGTTGCAGTAATTGTGAGACAAGATGACTCGATAACAATATTAGACATTGTGGCAGAGAGGAAAGACTGGTTCTTTTGATCATGCTGGTGGAAGGAATAGCAAATGATACTGTAAGTGTGGGTGTGGGAAGAAAAGGGGAGAAGAATTATAGCATCACCCTTGCTCAGAAAAGGCGAGCTACCTAGAGAAGAGCTGCGTCTTCCATTGCTGCAGAGAGATAGTGAAATAAGCCGTGGCTGGCAATTGCAGAGGAAATCTGAGGTTCCACCCCAGCTGATCGGATCTGATTATCTGCCCCGAGGCTGATCAGGTTGGAGCACAGGACAGGAGTAATGTATCCATGAGTAGTCATCAGCACGCAGCAGCAGCAATCTCCGGATGACTAGAGGAAGTCACAGTGAAATGGGCTGGAGAGAATGGTCACGAGAGTCCTGTGAGACTCAGAGAAAGAAGAGAGAAGCAGAAATGCAAAAAAAAAAAAAAAAAAAAAAAAAAAAAAAAAAAAAAAAAAAAAAAAAGTTAACCCAGCAGCCTGCAAAACGGGAGCTGAATTAGTACAAACTTGTGCTTCGGTTTTGATTACTCTCCCGATACTACTGCTTTCTTAGCTACTGCCAATCAGTGGAGGAAGCCCCTATGCCACCAGGTCCTAAATTGTGGAAGGCGACTTAATGGACACGTACGCTGGTGCCCTGTGAATATCTTCAAGAAATATATTGGGCTGCAAACCACTGCAAGAATTGGATTGGGAGGCCCTCTCCTGTCTTGGATTACTCAGAGTTTGCTTTGCAACTGGACAAAACATTAAGAATGAAAATGTTAACTTACTAAGAGTGATGGGCAATAGAGGACCATAGTTACAAAAATAAAACAATGAAAATGTGTCATTAAAATTACACTAAACAATAATGTTTTCCTTTTGCTGCATTTCATGCGAGTTGATGGATGGATAATTACCCTCATTTGACCAAAGATTTACTTGAAATGGAGTCCTCTTCAAACTCGTTTTCCTGCTCCTATTGTTAAAGATGCTGTCAGAGCCTCTCAGAGTACTTGCTCTGGGTGACCTGGTCTTTCCTTACCGCACTTTCCCTGCCAGCTCCTTCCTCTTTTTCCTGTTTATTTGGTTCTCGCTTCCTACCGCTAAGCACTGGATCATCACCCAGAGACATGGAAGATTTGATGGTTTCCTTTGCCCTTCTCTTCAAGGACTCTTGACTAATATTTCTATTGTATTTGCTAATTAGCCCGTTCTGGGGGAGAGCTTTATGCTGCTTTCCTGTTTATATTTTTCTGAAGAAATATTGGTAAAACATTTTATATCATGTACCAAAAAATCTGTAAATCCTTCCTAGAATCTTTGTGACCGGTGTCGGTATAAACCATTCGTTACATTTGGAATGGGATGCCTCATGCTTCCCTGTCCCTACCTGTTAATTGTAGGGAGCTGTTTCTGGATATCCCGCCATAAGAAATGAACTGAAAAGGTGGTGAAGCCAAAGTCATTAGTGAACAGGACAGCAAGGAGCAGACCTGCAATCCCTGGGCTTGCAGAAAAGTCCAAGATGACTGATGATAAAAAAGAAGCTCTGAAAGTTATTCAGAAAGAAATTATTAGAGATCTTGTTGACAGAAAACAGAGAACCTGTCAAAGTGCCATGGCCTGGGTTAACAGCAGACAGAGAAAGGTGGAAAATGGCTTATTTGGGGAGTTTACAAAGAAAAGAGAAGTCGAACAGACAGTTGGCTGCTTTCCAGTTGACCAGCAAGTCCAGTTTTACTGCAGATTTGTCAGCCTTGGGAGCTACTGTGTTTCAGAGACTTCTCCCAATATGGCAGAGCTGCCAGGCTGGTCTTCTGGGAGTACTTGACACATTGCTACTTGTTTCCATCAAACTGTTTTCTGTTGTCAATTCCCCAGTGACCCAGCTAACAGATCTTCCCAAGAAAGGATTTACAAACAATCTCCCAGTCTAGGCAGAATCTCTTCCTCATTCAGCTAACATGCATTTAAAATTATGCGGCATTTGACTCGCAGGAGGAGCATTTCTGTACAGTTCTTTTAGCTTCTGGTCCAAGAGTCCATCATTATTAGTCCAATAATGAGGCACAGAGGCTGGTGTTTTCCCCAGCCCTCACTTTCTGCATCCAGCCTGATGCCCAAGGGCTCTCAGAGCATGAGCACCTACACTTACCCAACTTGAGGCCAGCCAGAGCTCGAGTGTTTCCCACCTCCCAGGAGCCTGGGCTGCCCACGATGCTAGGGGATCCAGAGGGATGGAAAGCTCAGGCCATCTGCCTTCCTTAGCTGCATGGTGCAGTTTTGAGGGTAGGTGGGACACGAGGGTGGCAGGCTCAGACAGAATAGGCATAGCCATGCCTACGGGTGAAGCCACCTCTCTCCCCTTATGCCAGTTGTCATCCAAGCCTGCCCGCAGCACAAGGTGTGAAGCAAGTTTAGATCTGTTAACAGGCTCACAGTTGGGTATAAAGTATAATGAAGATGTCATTAATGTGCTCTCTGTGAATTACACCCTCCCCTGGCTCCAGGTTTTGTATGTGTAGTGTCTCAGACACCGTTTTTGTGTGTGCCTAGTTATAAAGAAAATGCCTTCGTTTGGGTTCATGTGTCCCTATCTCAGCCCAAGTTTCTGGGTTGAGTTTGTATCTCCTTTGGCTCCTGCAGCAGTCTAGCTACTGGAGAGTGCCCTATAACTTGTGGGGCCATACAACTGTCTCTTTTTCTTTCTTCTCTATCACGTGGCAAAGGTCACTCCCATCAGAGATGAAGGAGTAGGACCGCCCTCCAACACGGCAGAATCAAGCTGCAATGACCAAGTCTGCCTTCCGAAAAGGAGGTGATGGTTGACCTTTGCCTGTTCTGGGCCTGGAGGGCACATGAGCACATTGCTGCAGGCCGAGGCTCACATGACACAATTTCTGCAAGCTGAGGGCATGGGGGAATGTGACAGCTGCTGCAGAAAGACAACACCAGTCCCCTGCTTGGGGACACTGCTTGGGATGGAGAGGGAGGATTTCTGCCCTGGGATCTCTCACCGACTGTCTACAAAGCATTTCTGGGGGTACTCACTCTTTGGAGAAACACCTTCACTACCAAACATCTCCCTTCATGCATATACTCATACACTCTCTTTTAAATTTGATAGTAGCTTTTTCTCTTCACACTGGTGTTAAGCTTAAGGGACTAAACTGAACTGAAACTCAAGAGACCTCATTTAACATAAGCCCAAGTCTCTTCGTTTTCATGCTGGCCTCTGAAGTACATTTCCATAAGCTGCTGTCACGCATCAAACCCATGCTCCAGCAGAAGGAGAGGTGAAGGAAGAAGGCAGCAAAACAGCACACTTGGCAGACTAAACCTGTGTTGCTCACTGGCTAATGGAAGAGGCACAAACACCACAAACAGGTGCTCGGCTTGACCCTGAAATAGCAAACTGTAAGCGGATAGGGTAGAGAGATCTGGTAACACACGAAACACAGAAAGAAAGCAGCAAAAGAGATGGGTGGCTCTCTCTTGTCCTCCAAATTTGCGAGAGAAAACACAGAGTTCGAGGTGGTCAAGCAATACCACTTTCCATTGGCAGTGGCTCTTTGAAGACAAAAGCAGATGCAGCTAAAACACCCAGGAACGCTGCCTTTGTGCAGAGTTGCCCTTGCTGTGGCTTCTGACCAGGCATTCTTGCTTTCCCCTTCTCCCTGCAGCTTTCTAGCCACCTGCTGCCACTTTCAGCTTTCTGCTGCTATATATATATGCTTTTTAATCTCTCCTGAATCCCGCCTACATTTTTTGAAGGGAAGATGAAACTTTTTTTTTTTTTTTTTTTTTTTTTTTTTTTACAAGCCAGGTTTTCTAAGGAAGCAAGTTTTACATGGTCTGTCAGGAGGGTAACCTTTTTTTACCTCCCCTTCAGCCACATTTGAGTCAGGGGAAGTGATCTGAAAGACTAAGTTTCTACACGCAAAAGAAGACTGATAAATAAGACACTTACTTAATACGCACACTGAGAAGACAATGGAGCCACTCTTCTTTCCCTTCACTGCCAGGACCGTGGTGTGGGGGGCAATTAGAGAAATGGGGCAGCACTCCAGAGAAAAAACAGGCTGAATTAGTTCTGCTGCTCACAGAGCAGCTACAAATGATCGAGGCATGTGGCAGGGGGGGGGAGAACAGATCCTGCAGCAGTGTCTGTGGTCTGTAATATCAGAATGTGCCTTCTGGTGGGGTCACTGAGACAGCATTCCAGCACCAGTATGGCACCCCCACCTGCATCACCCTTTCGCCTGCCCCATGGCCCCACAGGCTAGGCACAGCCTCCACGTGTGCACAGGGGAAAGGATGTCAGAACAGGACTTTCCCTGCATCACTAGAAACAAAAACCTGGCCTCACTGCGGGGCAGTGAGAGCAGGGAACTCACATAGGTCTCATACTTACCACAAACCTCATCTGACAAAGCAATATTTTTATGCATATGTATATATATATATATGTATATATATATATAAAAATATAAAATCTGACTGCCTGAAGGAAACTGCAGCAGGTTTGCAGGAGAACTAGCTCCCTGCAGGAGCGGATGTCAAATCTAATGAGAGTCAGCATTTTGTTTCAGACAGGTACAGGCCAGCTGCCGTTGTGAATAGCAGGCCAGCCTGCTTGTCACATTTGTTCCCAGGTGGGAAAGCTTGAGCTGGTGAGCATGCATCTGCTTTCAGCATAGCTTGCCTGCTTCCTTATTTGCTTGACTTGCCCCAGGCTCCTCTTCCCTCATTGACCCAGGTCCTTTCCTGTGCCTAATGCACTGCACCCAATCCTGTTTAGTTTGTTGGCCAGAAAGCAGAACTGCATAGGGCAGGGGCAACACAAACTCTTATTTTCCTCACTCTGTTACTATCGAGGCATTCTGCTGAAAAAAAAAAAAAAAAAAGAAAACACGGAAGATGAAAGATGAGTATTAAGGTTTTTACTCAGGTGTCTCAGCAAGAATTTTGGCTGCTTTGGATCACTCTCTACTCCAAGATGGCTCTTCTTAAGCACCTCACTCTCCACTCCTACCTCAGAAACTCACCCAGGTGCTGTGCAGAGGGGCACCTGAAGGGAAAGACAATAGAATAGTAGTAATACTAGTAGTAATAATAATAATAATAATAAAGCAATAACAGTATACAAAGCAAGCGATTCACTATACAGGTGCTCACCACTCGCCGACCGATGCCAAGCACGTCCCTGTGCTGTGACCGCTGACTCCTGGCCAATGCCCCCCAGTTTCCATACTGAGCATGTCGTCACACGGTAGGGAATAGCGCTTTGGCCGGTCTGGGTCAGCTGAGCTGGCTGTGACGCTGTCCGGCAAGAAGACCTGCGGGACCGTGACAGCGATGTGACAAGGTTCTATGGCAGCACCACAAAAAGAGTGAAATGTGTCAGCCCCTGACAAGAAGTTACTCTCAAAACTAATTGGACATAGGCACAACAATCCCGGCTTCAAGACCTAACAACGTAAGGACGCAGGCAAGAAAGCCCAGACCGCAAAAATGGACGGCAAGAGACCAGAGCTACTGACGCACCCAAGAAGGACGCCACAAAAAAGGACCTCCCAGAAACCTCCGAGACGCCAGACCGATCCACGCCGCATGCTTGTTACGCCAGAAAAGAAGCGCCCAATTCACACTATGCCAACGAGCGCAAGCGTTCAACACACTAGGGATGATGCCCGACTCACAAAACCCGAGGCACATGCTGCCCTGCCTGGGTGCAAAGACAACATGGAGACCTGAGAAAGTCTTAAGACACAGAAGACAACCCACAAACTACCCACCAACAGAATCAGCCTGGAACTGCCCTGCCCAGCACACACTGGCATCATGCTGAAGACTAACCCGCTCCCTTTACCTGCCTGGACGGCGCTGTTCCCAGACATCCCTCTCCTCTGCACTACACTTAAAAACCCCTTCCTACAACGGCCAGCCTTGCACCCTCCCTCCCTTGACCCCTCTCTGGCACCGGAGCCTCAACTTAGCTTGCAGACAGCTGCGACTCCGAATCCATCCTGGACAAGGAAAACTGCGCTCAGCCTGCTGGATCCATCCTCCTGTCAGCAGGTTCCTCCTCACCATCTGCAAAACCAAACCAACCAATGCCGTCAGTCAGCATCACATCGGTCAACACCGACATTTCCAACAACACCTGCCACCTCAGACAGGCCATGGCGTGCTGCTCACCCGCTCTGCGCCAATTCCAGAGTCGGACACCATGGCTGTCGTCGGTTCCAGCGCCTAGGACTCAGACAGAAAATTACCTTTCCGCTTGCAAAAAAAAAAAAAAAAAAAAAAAAAAACAAACACACAAGCTCCCTGCTACCCAGCTCACCTCAAGTGCTCATCCACTTCCAAAGGGAGCCCCCATGGAACCTGCAAAACCAGAGGGAAACACTGCAACTCAGTGGCCATACAATACTTGGCTATGATAACCCAACCCGGCCCCCTACCGCCTCACCTTCCGGGACAGCTCATCAGCATACAACATGAACCGTCCAAATAGCACCTGCAGAAACCCAAGCAAAAAGGCACATGCTGAGATACTGCCCGAAACCACAGCCTGCCCGCACCGATCCCCGTCTCACCCTCCTTTACCTTGACAGCT